CTTGCTCTTGGAGCTTCTCAAGCCAGGTGACTGTACTCATGGTGAATGGCCGCTGTGTGGAGAGCACAGAGGCTATAAGATAGAGGGTGACCTTAAGAATGGTTAGAACAAGAAGAAGGAAAGGGCTCATTTATAGTTGACTGAAACCCCTGAAAGATGGTGGAAAGTGCCTATGGACAAGAAAGTGGAAGACGTCTTGGTGAGTAATAGGAGAGACGCTAATGCATGAACTGTACAGTTCCTTACACCCTCAGAGGTATGAGCCAATGCTGTCAAGTGGGAAGTACCGTACAGCAACCCAGCCACTACAAGTACCGCAGACTGTCCAGTTGCCTCGTGAGCGTGGCGACTGTACAGCCATGGGATAATACCATTGGTGTCTCTTTTTGCCATATTTTATATGAACATAAAATAAGAATTACATGAAAAGTGTTTATGTATTGTGTCTTTGTGAAATGCTGCAGAGCAGTTCTCACGAAATGTAGGCGATGGAAGTTTTGACTGATCATCATCAGGCGTATTATCAAAGGATGACCGGTACATTAAGATGGTTCGCCTTGTCCTTATCATCTGAAAAATTTAGAGGAATAAGAATCGTGTTGGGAGCTGATCGGGACTAGCGTGTACTGCCAATACTTTCTCAACGGTCTCTAGAAGACACTGATCCCGCCGTCTACAAGAATATCTGCGCCAGTGATGTAACTACCTGCTTTGCTTGCGAGCAAGACAACAGCACCTGTGAGTTCCTCCGGGTTTCCCATGCGGCCATATGGCGTTCTGTTTGCCCAAATAGCTCTATGCTCGGCCAAACCGTCTCCCTCATTAAGAATAGTGTCCATATACCCAGGGCTGATACTGTTGACACGTATACCGTGTACCGCCCACTCTGCGGCAAGTGAACTTTTCATAGAGATGACGGCTGCCTTTGCCGCGTTGTAATGGACTTGAGGCTGAGGAAAGTTGACTATATGCGCAGATATGCTTGCCATCAGGATAATTGAGCCACCGTTTCCTCCGCCTACGATACGCTTTGCAACAGCTTGTGCTACCAGAAATGAGCCTGTGGTATTGACATCAAACATGGTCTTGAATTGCTGTGGAGTGATGTCCAAAGCATGCGCAGCAAAGGCGATGCCTGCAAAGCAGAGGCAGATGTTAATGGGGCCAATGGTTTGCTCCGCGTTGGCAACGGCGGCTTCAACGGACTCGGGATCTGTCACATCAACCTTGGTAAATGTGATCTTCGCCTCAGGAAAGTCACTTTGAAGACTGGTGACTGTGGTTTGCCCAGAATCAGGATGCAGGTCAAAGATAGCTAGTCCCTGGAGTCCGTGTTCAAGCAGAGCTCGACAGGCGACAGATCCGATGTCGCCAGCGCCACCAGTCACAATGGCATTGCCTGTCACCGCGAATCGAGCTCGTGCTCGATCCAGAGGTGTGGTTTTAGAATGAACATGATTTGGGGGAGATGTTTTGGACTTGGCTGAGCCGTCACTCAATTGCATTGACGGAGGAGCGCGAAACTTGAGCTCAGATCTGGCGACGGACATTTTGACCAAGCAAGGAGGGGTAGTACAGTGAAGCGATCGATACAAAACAAGGATGATGAATGAGCTGGAATCACACCACCAACGAGGATTACAAGGGAAAAGCAGTATTCATATATCTGTTAAATGAAGATTCTCAGTTAGACATTCATATACTGATTCCTCCAACTCAGTCTTGAAGGAGATACTGACTGGCGTCGTAAGCTGCCGATACTGTACAGTAACATGCTGATCAGTGGGGCTTGCCGGGCTTCTCAACCAATGAAACTGGCTGTGTGCTTAATACTGTACAGTAACCGCATTAGCGCTCACAATCAGTCGCCTCACAGAAGGGCAGCGAATCACTGCATGTTGCGGACGCAAAGATGAGCAATCGAGGCCAGCATTGATAGCAAGGTTGAAGTCGAAAGTAAATGTTACACGGTTACAAACGAAATGTTTATTGTTTCTCCGACTTTGGGTTATTGAATATGAAGAAGCTAACAGATCCTAGCTTCCATCTATCTGACGAGCTCCCACTCCTCACCGAAGCCATCAGCCTTCATAAGAGAAGCATTTCCAAGGTTGTCGATCTCTCCCTGGGCAAGATACATGTTCTTCAAGTCATTGTAGTACATGCGGCAACTATGTCCACTCAGGACGACCTCGCCATTGTCGTTGACGCTGACATACTTTTGAGTAGATCCTCCAACTGCGCTGACGGAGATGTAGTCCTTGCCGATGATGACAGTCCTGTTTCTGTCACTATCACGCTCTCCGCCCAGCCGGAAGGTGAAGGGAGTGCGACCCTGCTTAGTCGCATAGATCAAACCGCCCTTTTCAAGCCAGTAAAGCTCTGGGCTAGACTTGGACCGAATGTAGTAGCTACAGTACATCACATAAAAAGTTTCAGAATAATGCATCGAGGGAACTTACGAATCACAACTAAAGACGCTGACTCTTGGAGGCTGAGCGAAGTTGGATATGATACGACCATCCCGATCATTCAGCAAGGTGTATATGATCTTGTTCAAGAATGAAGGAGCCAGGTCCCACGCCTGAGCGCCGCTGCCCCAAGAGTAGAAATCAGGGCCGAGACGCTTGACATGCTCTGGATCCTTGGTAGAGGCCTCTCGCTACCACTCATCGATGGTCTCAGCATCAGGAGCTGTAAGAAGGTATCGATCATTGGGCTCGGAAGTTTGCTAAGGCAATGTCAGGCTGCTGGTCGCATAATGGCTGATTAAGTTTGGAGACATACCCATTTGAGGAAAGCGTAGTAGACCATGATGGGCTTTGAGAGGCGATTGAGGTCAAGAAATTTTTGAAAGCGTTTGAGTTCTATGACGAGATGAATGATGAGCTTTGAATGAAGAAGTGACTCAGAGCGTTCTCCATGCCATGCTTTATACGCAGCTCTTGATCATACACCGACATTTACACTGACAAGATACAAACTTCACTCGGATCAAGCATGATAGATGGTCGCCTCCATCAGGTCATGGCGTTTACTGAGCTTACGCCCTTTCAATTTCCTCTTTCTTAGACATTTCATCGTCATTTCCCAGCGCTTACAGTTGTCTCAAATGCTTCAAGACCAGTCTTGTCTCAATATTTACCAAAAAGGCATCCCCGCATCGAAAATGGCTGGCTGAAGACCCTCAAAAGGCCTGCCGAAATAAACATATTCCAACAAAATTGAGACGGCAGTCTATCGGAAGGGTTCCGTCGGTATTTGCCTGGTAGATACCGACGTCAATCTGAGACTGAACTGAAAATCCCATCTCAAATGGGATAGTAAAGATACGGGACGCTGGATTTGTCCGACAGCTGCATTGATCTGCATCACATGCCGGTTCGTCGTAAGAGCATAGCGAGATGCGGGCACACGCACATTCCTCATGTAGATGCACACGAAGGTTGGTAATGGTGACGAAATGACCAGGGCCCGTCTCAGCCCTCTCATTGGGACAGACTCGAATGCAGACGACCTCTCAAATTGGCCAATCCGAAGATGTTCAAGCTCCTGAAGTGTCTGAGAAGGTCCCTGTACAAGCATCTCAGCTGAGGCCGCTGTCATGCAAGGACGGACATGGCCAGAAAAAGCCTGGCTAAGGTGAATGGCGGCTGCATAAGAAAGAATCGGGAAATGACATAAGGAATACTGTTGGATCAAAGAAATATATGATCTACGAAGACCAACTTTGGCATCACGGCCTCTTCTACAAGTTAGGTATGGCCTGTCTGAGAGAAAATCCCTTCCGCCGGCAGGCCCGATGGCCCGTTCCGAGCTCGGTGCTGATCGCCCGCAAATAAAAACCTTGAGACATACTAGAGGGAGGCCTAAATCTATATCTGCGCGTTGTGGTAACATCAGTGAGACAGAAATTCACTCAGAACGACAAGGGATCGGCCAAGACATCCAGCTGAAGGCCTCACATTTGGCACACGTTCTAGCGATACGACTATCATTACCTAAAAGCAAGTCCAAATAGTGACAAGAGGCTGTACAGCTACCCAGAGAAGAAATTATGATTTCACTCGGGATGGTAGGCAAGCCTTTTGGCCGCCAAAAATGAGACATTGTATGTGATAGTTGCCCATGAGCTCATGTTCGCAAACTCCGGCTCCCCGGTATCATTGCCAAAGAACCAAGATTGGCGTCACATCATGATTATCCCTCGTACCGAAACAGCATTGGGAGCGTCAGAACATCTGTTTTGGAAGAAAAGGTCTCGGCATTCCGTGATCTAGTAGAAGAAACGCAGCCAGTAGACTATCGAGGAGAAGGGAGCCATCAAGGCGATCCTTAGGTTATCAGAATGGCTGAGACCACTGATCAAGGGAGACAGGATAGGTTAGTAATCTACTGAGTCTTATCCTAAGATGTGCTAGACTTATAGAAGTCCTCACTCACTTGCGAATACACTCCCAATCTTTTCGCTACCCCCCAAGTAGTACCCCTTAGCTGAGATTTAGCTCACAGTGAGATTCTAGTGGGACCAAGGCTTGCAATGGCAAGAAGCTCCATGGGGATATCAAAGCCAGGTTACGATAGTTTCATCCCCGCATCTTAAGAATGTAATTGAGAGACAATCCCTGCTTGGAAGGGACTGTTGTAGATCACACCAGCCACCGACCGGTACAAGTGAGACGAAAGGCCCCATCTGAATCAAACTCCAATAGCAAGTTAAAATAACAAATTTCGGTCGGTATAGCGACATCCGAGAATTGACGGCCGTTGAAAAACGCCAAAGATTGCCAGCCATGGCGCTTCTGGGTCGGGACATCGACTGCCAAGGTATCATACTGTCAATAAACTATGAGACGTGGATGATGGATCTAAGTACAGACTGGAAGCAACGAACCGGAAAGAAAACTTTATAGATAAAAGAGGCCTTCCACCGCACTTGAGGTTCATGATCACTCCTTATCTCCCCATCCTCCTTCACCTTTCTCTTTCCTTTCCCAACCATGCATGAATCCTGGAAGACCATCATCGTGCTCTCCAGCTTTGCGCTGACCAGCACAGCAAAGGATGTTTCGTTCGATGCTCGTCTTATGGTTCAGCAAGCTGGACTGCCTTCTGTGCTCAGCAATGGCTCTAGCCTGCCTCCCCAGCTTGACATCCCAAGCACTCGTCCAGCTCGGTCCATCGATCTGAGCCAGATTGTGCCTCTCCAAGATGCTTCTGGTAACAGCCGTTGCTGTCCCATTGGAACTGTCAACGATGGCACTGGCTGTGTTTTCCCTCACTCGTCTGTCTGCCCTGAGGGTACTCGTCTTGAGGGAAACACTTGCATCAGCGAGAAGCCACCCAAGTGCCCTGATGGTCTGATCTACAATGGTCGCAACTGTATCGGCACCGCACCTAGCTGTCCTCCTGGTAGCCGATTCAACGGCGAGTCCTGCGAATCTGAGGCGGAGCCACGTTGTAAGCCTGGGTTCCAATACCAGGACGGCAACTGTGTCTCCCTTTCGGAAGCTGGATGCCCTCCAGGATTTACTCTTAAGAACCGCCTTTGTACTTCAAGCAGCAAGCCTCAGTGCCCTGCCCCTTTCAAGTACGAAGACGGTAGCTGTGTTGATTCAAAGCCGCCGTCTTGCCCTCCCGGCAGTAAACTCACCGACGGCAATTGTGTTGGCGAAGCCCCTCCTTCTTGCCCTCCCGGCTATGCCATCAACAAGGGAGTATGCACCCACGAGTCAAAGCCGAGATGTCCTCCTGGATCCAGCTTTGATGGTACTGCTTGCATCTCCGAGAAGCCCCCGTTGCCGCCCTGGTGCCGTTTTCAACGGAGAGAACTGTGTTCTCGAGGACCGTGCGGCTTGCCCTCCCGGAAGTGTTCTCAGCGGCAAGAAGTGTATCTCTAATACTCCTCCCGTTTGTGAGCCTGGCCATACCCTGACCGGTGATTACTGTATCTCAGAGGAGCGTCCTCAGTGTCCCCGTGGATCCACTGTTGTTGGCCGATACTGCAAGTATCCCGATCTTCCTGTCTGTGAGCGTGGCACCAACCACCATGATGACGACTGCACTTCTTCCATTACTCCAGAGTGCCCTACCGGAAGCTCTTTCAATGGAGTCAACTGTATCTCAAATGATCGACCTATTTGCAGGCCTGGCTACATCTTCAACGGTGCCACCTGTGTCTCCGAGAAGGATGTCCCGGCTTGCCCCAACAACATGCAATTCGATGGCACCAACTGTGTTTCAAAGGAGCGACCTATCTGTGACCCTGGAAAGTCTTTCGATGGCGGTGCTTGCGTCGATCACTCTGATCCTCAATGCCGACCTGGTCTTGTTTTCGACGGCACCAGCTGTGTATCCAAGGAGCCTCCCCGTTGTGAACCTGGCACCAGCTGGAACGGAAGCAAGTGTACTTCTGAGAAGAACCCTGGCTGCGCTCCCGGTATGAAGTACAATTCTGAGACCGAGACTTGCGACTCATCTCAAAAGCCCCGTTGCCCTACTGGAACCGAGCTCAGAGATGATGTCTGTGTCTCGGTCACACCTCCTCAGTGCGCTAGTGGTACCACCAGAAAGGGTGGCAAGTGTGTTTCTGTCGAACCCCCCCGTTGCCCTCGAGGTCTTACTCCCAGTGGTGGTCTTTGCATCTCTACCAAGGTGCCTGAGTGTGGCGAGGGAACTATCTTCGATGGCAAGCGATGTGTTATTGGCAAGACCGACGAGTGTTATACTCTTTACACCTGCCCTCCTGTCGGTGCCCCTGGCCTCCCTGCTGTTGGTGGTCGCTAAAACTATTTCCTAAATCCCTAAACCCCCTATGTATCAGTAGTACGAGCCTCAACTCACAAATTGACAACTTTCTTTTTCTCAATCTCCCTCTGATAAAAACAGTGATTTCTATGCCTTTTCAACCTAAGTTGACGTGAGCTACCTAGATTCTTAGCCTTAGCGAATGTAGAGTATGCCAGAGCATGTTATCACAAACCTACTTGAAATGACCATGATATTTAGTTTAAATACGTCATGACTCTACCTCAATTTATAATGATAAGCCAGGGTCAGACTAAATGCATATTCAAGGGGGTCTCCTAAGAGTTAAGTTTAAGATATCGGTAGTATTGATTTTATACTATTGGTGTATTCTATCCATGTCACCCAGGATAATCCCATCGCATTTAAGCACCGTTACCGTTGTAGGCAACACTGTTAGGAGAGCCGCTGAGAGTACCAGTGATTCTGCCAGTAGTGGCAAGAGACTTGATGCGGTTGGTAACGGAGGCAGGGGTGGAGAGACCCTCAAGAACCTGGAGGTAAAGAGCAAGACCGGCAACGTGAGGGCAGGCCATGGAGGTACCGCTGATGGTGTTAGTAGCAGAGTTGGAGCCGATCCAGGTGGAGAGGATGTTGACACCAGGGCCAAAGACGTCGACACCGGCACCGTAGTTGGTGAAAGAAGCAGGGCGCCAGCTGGAGTCGATGGCAGCAACGGTCAGAGCGTTAGGAGCGTTGGCAGGAGACTGGCCAGAGACAGGAAGAGGTCGGCCGGCGTCGTCACCGTTACCGGCAGCAACAACAGAGAGGACACCAGAGTTGTAGGCAGCGTTGATGGCAGAGGTCCAAGTCTGAGAAGCGGGACCGCCGAGAGACAGGTTGATGACTGAGCGACCAGCACGGCTCTTGGAGGTGATGTCGTTAACAGCCCAGTTGAAACCAGCAAGGATAGTGGAGGTAGATCCCTCACGGCCAGCGAAGACCTTGACAGAGATGATGTTGGCCTGGAAAGCTGGTTAGTCTTTGAATGGCAAGATTGTATAGTGCTTGACTTACCCGCTTGGCGACACCGTAGGTAGAACCAGCGATAGTACCGGCAACGTGAGTACCGTGACCGAGGGTATCCTCGTGAGCACCACCAACAGCGTTGTAACCAAGAGAAGCACGGCCACCGAAGTTGGTGTGGCTGACCTGGACACCGCTGTCAACGACGTAGGCGTAAGAGCCTTGGCCGGCAGTGGTGTCGTAGATGTAGCTGGTAGAGCCGGAGGTTCGGTGAGAGATCGTGCCGAGACCCCATGGGGCACCCGACTGGGTGGTCAGAGCACGGTCAGTAAGCTCGGGCTCAGACTCCTCGTAGCTGAGGTACATAGTGTAGTCAGGCTCAACGAAAGCAACCTATAGCATGTTAGCGATTGAATGACTAAGACCAGATGTTTAAACAAACCTCAGGGCTCTTCTTGATCTCAGCAATGGTGGACTTGTCGAACTCGCCCGAGTAAGCGCTCCAGCTGCTGATATTGAAAGTCTTCTCAACACCAGAAGTGTCACGCTTGTTGAGGCTGCGGCGGTGGACATCGCCAACCCAGTTCAAATGAGCCGCAACAGAGGAGTCGGAGGCATCAGGCTTGAGGGTGATGATGTACTTGTCGGGAACAGCCTGTCGCTTGGAGAGGATATCGGCAGGAGCAGCGAGGACTGCGGGGAGCAGAGCTCCAAGAGCCAGAGCGAGGCGGCGGAAGCTAGCCATGATGAACAGAGAGATACAAGAGGAGATGAGATTGTGAGGATGAGGATAGTAAAACTGATTATCGTGGTGATCGTCAAGTGTATTTATACACAGATCAGCATGAATACACCTTTAGCTGATTGATAATACAATTAGATCCAATCATCCATATCATCAACACCAAGTCTTGCGTGATAGCGTTGAGTTTGGATACAGACTATTCAGCTTCCTAAACCGTCACGGCGGCCGAGGTGTCCAAGTAAGGAAAGTGATAGTGGAGGAATAGTATTAAGCAAAAGTGCCACTGCCAAGACAGACTTGTAGCGGAGTTAGCCTCGAAATATCTTGGCCAGCTACCTTGCAAGACTATGCTCCTCCTTGATTATGTCGCTGATGATTGGAGTTGGGTATCAAGGTCCATAAATCTAACTCTGAAGATGTTATTCCTGCTCAGAACGAGTCATCAAGACGAAAATAGCTCATAGACGTTGCAAAGATGTTTGTATTCAAGGGTCCAACGGTATGCCAGGGCATGAATGCTGCCAATGCTGGGGTTCAGGTGCAGCCGCGGGGTTATATGCTGTCATCAATTTCTTATCACCTCGAATGCTCGGACCTGCTTAATCCTTCCCGTACCTTTTCTCCTAGCGAACATCGGCCTCCCCCGCCATTTGCTCTGCCATGACCGCTATCTCGTTCGGGGCCGCTCCTCACAAAGGGAAAGGCGCGCGGACTTCCTTGGACGGGATGAACCCTCTTGTTAGGGAAAACCATAGTGTCGATCCGGCAAAGGGGGGAATATAGCGCAATTTGATGGGATTAATGCGATAAAGCGCTGAGTTGATCGGCAGTAGAGGCCTCGTGTGACCCTGGTACCCCTGGACCTTATCCTCTTTCTACTGAGCTCGCGTGATTCGGACACATTACCCATACGGGAAAATCCTAAGGTTCTTATGTTTGCACTAGAGAGTATGCTTAGTTTATGCATGCGAGATACCTGGCTTAGCGCTCAGCTAGCAGACAGGGGTACCACGGATTCCGCGAATCAAGGCCTGAAACCTCATCACTATCTCGGTATTGATGGCTAGTGCGATGTCGACCACGGAGGTGCAAATAAAGTGTTGGCGATAGGGACTTTAATTGGAGTGCCAGGTAAGTTTGACTATGGTCTTGGCTTCTAGCGAGCTTCTTAAATCGGGTATATATGAGGACTTGATACGAGAGAGATCGTCGGGCCGGGAGTCGTTGGCGCAACTTGGCATTCACCGCTTTGACCTACCAGTGAAGTGTGACTCAAGATAGCACGGAACCGTTTAGGATAGCGCCGATGCCGATCTCATCTGGTCAACGAGGGGATTTTCCAGTCTCACGATTTAGTCTATCCAGTATCTACAGACTACAGACATCCTATAAAGACAGTACAGATACATTGGATGCCTCTTTCTCTCCTACAGCCATGCCTGCATCTCTCCCATTTCAACTACCAAACCTGGCTAGTCCACAAATACCCGCCTTTCCACCTTGACAGGAAGGGGTCCAGGGTTCGAGTTGAATCGATCAAAGATGACGAAGTCCATTGCTTGGTCCGCCAAGTAAATGTTGTATCTCCGTACCAGGGTTGAAATCAATATCTGCAGTTCAACAATAGCAATGTGCCTGCCAAGGCATTGACGCGGTCCCTGACTGAACACGATGTTGTACCTTCTGAGATTGGACAATTGCTCGGGGTCAAACCAGCGCTCTGGATCGAATTCATCAGGGTTCTTATACAGTTTCCTGTTCCGGTGAACAGTCCATGGTGAAACTGCGACAGTCGTCCCTTGTTTGATGTGATGGCCCGCAATAATTGCGCCTTGGGGAGAGACCACGAGACGCTGCAGAGCGTAGGCAATTGGGGGTCGAAGTCTCAATGACTCGTCAATACATGCTCTCAAATACGGAAGGTCTCTAGCAGAATCGTATGAGACAACTCCGTCATGATTAGACTCTAGTCTGGCGTCGATCTCAGTTCGTAGCTTCTCGAGGCATTTTGGATTCGAGAGCAAAAAGTATAGAGTACTTGAAAGAGCGGCAGCAGTAGTTTCGCTACCAGCATTCATGAAGACGTTGGATTCAGCTAAAAGTCTTTGGAATGAAAGCTCTCGAGTTCCTCCCTCGCGGTCCTTCAGAATCTTGTTCATGAAGTCTCGTTGAGGACGATCTGGTGAGCCGTTGTCCAGTCTCTAAATAGAGTGTCAGTTGATTTGTGAATATTATGGCTTTTCTTATGCCTACCCCATTTAGTTGGCTGATGCAGACATTATCGAAATCTTTGGTACCCTGAGCTCCAGTTGATTGTTTCAACCAATTTGTGGAATTGCAGAGTCGTTTGATGATTTTGACGCATCGAATGCTGGATAGCTGAGCTAAAGTCGTGGACAATCTTGTCCCTCGATGTAGTGCATCAATAGTACTAGGGATACAATATTCATGCCCTGCAGGAGATTTCACTCTTGTGGTATCGCATCTTCCTGCTAGGAAGCCCATAGGGAGGCCAAAAGCCATGTCCCCGATGACGTCCAAAGTGAAGTAGTTGAACCTTTATTTGTTCAGTGATGTTTAATCTGATTGGGAGAGCTACTCACCATCGTCGAATATCCAATTTCTGACTCGTAATGCTCTGGGTTGCAATTTCATCTAAGTAGTCAATTAATTTCTGGAGATTCTGTCTAATGACAGGCTCCATGTCCGTAACTGTTTTCAGAGCGAATGAGTTGGAAAGGTATTTTCTCCGTCGAGAATGATCACCATGGTCAATGACGTTGACAATGTCGCGCTCATCACCAGCAATCTTGTCATAAAACGTGTCTTTCACAAGCTTTCGAGCTGCAGCATGGCCACATATGTCAGGTACGGCTTCCGGGATGTTGAAGATGAGCAGACTAGGCGCAATTCGGATGACATCACCAAGTCCTTCATGCTGACGATGAATGCTTCTGGACCGTCGCTGGAGCCATGTCTCCTTTAGGATCCAGAAATGGGTCGTTGCTGCAAGGAAGCTTGGGGCCGGATATTTTCTCAAGTTGAGAGGATCAAGAAGATAGTGAAGAAGAGGCTTCAAGACGAGGAACGCCACTGAAGCTAGAGAGATAAGAAATGCCAACTCTGCCGCGCTTATTGGTAACGAGAACATATCGAGAGATCCTTAGATATTTGGAAGTCAACTTGATACAATTTTTGAAATAGATTATCCGCGATACTTATAGATGTATGAGACAACGCTTCGGACAGAATTACTCGCGTGAAGTTCTACCCTACAACTCCATTAAGTGTGGCTGATAGTTAACCAGTCCCCGACATTCGATCAAAATTACCTATTTGAGAATTGGCTATGATATCACTCTCTGATGTTGTCGAATTATACTTTGCGGCGTAGTGAAGCTACAGCATCGGCCCAACTGCCAAAGAAGCTCGGACAGAAACACCCAAAGAGGCAATTTAGCAGTGCTGCACCCCGCCCTTTTAGCGTAGAGTGAGTACTGTAGGCAGCCATATAAAGTCGCCTCGACCAGATTTTCCTTTATGGGATCCTCAGTTCTCGAGCATATTTTCCCAGTTCTTCTCATGATAACGCGTTTCTCTTGTTACTCCAAGTTTCGTAAGGAATCAAGCGGTAGCATGGGTCGACGATCACAGTACACAGCCTGGTACACTGCATCCTCCCTGCAAGCGTTCCTTGGGTTCGAGTTGAGCTGACGTAACTCACAGCCAAACATGTCAAGATCGTCATTTGAAATGCAAGTATAGGCGTGATATCAGACAGATATAGCGTTACCCTTCTAACACTGTCTCCAATAGGTGACTCGATTACCCTACCCTGCTCGAACTGCACCAAGTCTAAGAGAGAATGCAAAGCCGGATCATTCTTCCTATTTCGCCCAGGCATCAAGTCCAAGACCTCCAAGACCTCCAAAACAAGAGACAAAAGTGGCCGAAATCGAAATGCAACATTGCCACTTGCGGAGAACAACTCTGATACTATAGAGACATCCTTACCTTCAGATACTGACTTGTATCCTGGGTCCACTTCATCAGGAGTTTCACGGGCTTTGACACTGATTCAAGAACAAACATCTTTGCTAAACTCGATCGACAATGACCAAACTTACCAGAATCCGAGCAATAACCCACTTAGCATCAATGAGCTTCTTTGTAGCGAGACTGATGGTACCCTGCCCAGTGGAGACTGTACTACACCGCCTTTCACATTGAAGCCGGGTTCCCTCTATGTTGATCGTCCGATCGCACAAGCTATTGACTACCGCGCAGCGGAGCTCTTACTCCACTTCAAGACAGTCATAGCCAAACCGTGGGTAAGACCATAAGTTAGCTCCTCCAGGCGTCTCTTTTCATCTTTAATCGTGGCTATGTAGTTCGAAGTCACAGATCCTGATTTCACCAACGAAGCTCTTCGACGAGCCCCGAGATGTCCTCTCCTTCTCTACTCATTACTAGCTGTCTCCAGTAGCCACAAGAGTCGATTCTTGGACGACCCTGACATCGCTCAGGACTATGCGCGATATGGAGAAGAATATCACGAGAAATGCATCAGTTTGTTGCTGCCCATGCTCAATGATAGTGAAAGTATTACAGACGGTGCATTTTTAGCATGCTCTACCATCCTCCGATGGTATGAGGAGCTCAGTGGTAAGTAACTGGTACTATAGATGACCATTGCTTACCCTTTAAAGCACCTATCCACGGGAGAGATGACGCAAGACATTTGTTGGGAGGCTACGCGTCAGTCGCCGAGTCTTTCGAACAAGATCTGACTTGGGAGGGATTCAGAGGGGCAGCACTATGGATTCACCTGCGCCAGGATCTTTTCAATGCTGTCATTAATCAGAGGATACCCAGAACCAATGTCAAAGAATTGGAAATCGATCGCAGTTCCTCGCCCGCAGACGAAACAATTTGGGCCAAGCGGGTACTCTGTCTTGAGGCCGAGGTCGTTGAATACTGTTTTGGAGGCGAAGGGTCGTCAATTCAGCAGTATAAAGCCCTCGAAGCTCGCTTGGAGGACTGGGACAGTCAGAAACCACAAACTTTCACGCCAGTCCTTTACCAGGAGCGCGATCCATCTCAAGGAGTATCATTTCCCTTTGTGTCTGTACTCTTGGATAGTTGTGGTCAGTAATCTTCGCCGGCGTGCACCAGTAGCCTCTCTGTCTCTAACCGCGTGTAGTATTCGGCTTGAGCCACTACTATTTCGCCATGCTCATGATGCTTGTTCACGATCCCCGCATGCCGAAAGTTGGTACTCAGTATCTAGAATGCCAGAAGGAAATCAGAGTCAGTCTGCTGGTTTCGTGGCTATAGTTCTATGACTGACTGCCTTTAGATAAGAATACTGCATTTCCTGAGATTACTGTGTGGTCTCGCCTCTTCAAGTCCGGTACCGCCTGCCAGAGGAATGACGTGCCTGGCCCTTTCACTGTGTAAGCAAATGCAGGCTGAGATCTGAATCGGGGACTAATTCTGTTTATAACAGTCGGGTCATGGATCACTGATCACGCGGAACGAGATGCGGCGATAAATGTCTTGAGAAAGGTAGACCGAGAAGATGCCTGGCCAACATCGAGTTTGCAGCGAGACTTGCAGGCTCAGTGGGAAAACAGAGACTAAGATGAGACATTTAAAGAGAGTCCAGGTGTTTAATGAAGAGCCTGCATACATACCTACCATTCATGCAAGGATACCAAGGCGTTGCTGGAAACCTCGTATTTACCCAGCCTAGCCAGCCAAACCCACGTCTGACTCTACGTCATCGACCTTACGTGGTTTCATCCTAACAATACTAATTGTCCTACAACATACATCGACAACGGAAATACGGTAAAATGCCGTCTCTCAACAGTTGGTGGTGGCGTTTCCTCGAAAACTATGTCTATGCAGTGCCAGAACCTCCACCGCGAAAACGAACGAAGCCTATGGAGGTGCTTTGTGTAGGCCTACCCAGGTCTGCGACTGAGTCTCTTCAGACCGCGCTTTTGAAGCTTGGATACGATCACACCTACCACGGCTGGGATATGGTATACGAGACACCAAGTTACTCATCGAAATGGGTTCGCTTATGCAGAAAGAAGTAAGTCAAAACCCTTCATCACTGTGCAAAGTTACTCACATAGCGGAGATGGTTCGGCTCGCTGGATGGCAACACTACCATTACAAAAGAAGAGTTTGCGGACTCTCTGTAGCTGTCACAGATGCCGCTGCTTCAGTGTTTGCAGCCGAACTCATCGCCGCATACCCCGATGCGAAGGTCGTCCTCAATTACCGCAAAGATTTGGATGCGTGGCACGAGAGTGCTGTGAAGACTCTAGTGAGTGTCAATGAGAACTGGACTCTATATATATTGTCTTGTCTCGGGAAAGTGCCGTTCTGGGGCTGGCATGTTTATGAGCGGTTTATGTGGCCAGGCCTCTTTCGGGCCTTGGACGGCAATATTGAGACAGGAATTGCGAGGAATGGCAAATGGGTCTACAAGGGTATGTAACTCGCACACGTTCGAAGACCCCCAGTGATCGTCAAGCATCACAATACTAACGAAAACATAGAACATTGCAACATGATCCGCGGTCTCGTTCCGAACGAAAAGCTCCTCGAATGGAATGTCGAAGACGGATGGGAACCCTTGTGCAAGTTCTTGGATAAAACAGTTCCTGATGAACCATTCCCTCACGTCAACAAAGCTTCCGGCTGGGAAAATCACGAGGCAGAAGTCACTAAACGATATCTGACGAGTGCCTTGTCAGGCGTCGCTGTTGTATCTGCAGTTGGAATTGCAACCAGCGCCATCGCATATAAGACCATGTGGTGAAAGTCTGACACCCATGAGAAAGCGAGCCTTTATGATTCGATGTCATAGTTCATATGAAGATATCTGGAAAGTTATGTGATTTGAATTTCCATCTCACTAGATTCGCCAAGTGAAGAAAAACGTTGAAGGCCGTTCAACAATCCGTCCTGTATGGTGGTAAAATAGCCGAACCCCTCGAGTTGTCAAAAATTGTGACATAAACCTCATCGCCACTAAAACCTGATAAGCCATTGCCAACGCCCGTTTCAATATCTTCAAGAATGTCCCCACAACAACAAACTGAACCTCAACTAGACTATACCTAAAGAGACTGTTGACTCGGAAAGCCGGAGATGCTAAGCCTGTAGCCATTCAGCCGTTCCCCATGCCTGCTAGCACCATCTCATAAAAGCCCATGATCTGATCAGGAGTGCAATTTGCAACCCACGCAAGGCCTTGGCGGTTGAGAACTCTGATAGATGCCGGGATTCTGCGGACCAGAAACATTCAGAAAGCCCACTGCACCTTTGTCCAGGCGGAAAATGGAATGGTCAACCAGGGTATACGTTCCTGGGACAGCCATCTTCAAGTCGACGATCGTTGACCCACCGCAAGGAACAGAAACGGTCTGAATTCCCTTTGATGGGTTGCTGGTAACGCCACCATCTCGGTACACATTCTTGAAATGCGTACCGATGATGTGGAATGAACTGGTAAGGTTTGGTCCAGCATTTCCGAAGAAGATCCGCACATCGTCACCGACATGAGCCTTGAGAGGATGATCTCTTGTCAAGGCAGACTCGCTACCGTTGAAGGCAACGACTTGAGGTTCTTCACGAAGACCATTGGGGTACGAGAACTCGACTATTTCGGATCGTCGACCATCATCATCAACCTCTGGTGGTTCATGGTAGAACTCGCTCTGCATAACATAATACTCCTTGTCCACGGGTGGTAGGTCATTGCCTTCCGGCTGCACGTACATGAGACCGTACATGCCGTTGGCAATGTGAACGGGAACAGGCGCGGCAGCACAATGGTAGACGTAGAGGCCGGGGTAAAGGAGCTTGAAGCGACCGACCTTGGTTTCGCCCTCTTCAGCGGTAGTAACAGCGGCACCACCACCGGGACCGGTAAATGCGTGGCAGTCGATATTGTGAGGATTGCCTGCAGGGTCTTTGTTTGTGAGGCTCAGCTCCACGATATCTCCGACTTTGGCCCGAATGAAAGGGCCAGGGACAGTGCCGTTGAAAGTCCACTGTTCGTACTTATACTGGCTGGTCAACTGTGCTAACTTAGTTGTAGTCACCAGTGGAACTCTGACGAGAGCTGGATGGTCTCTTGTGATAGATGGAGGGACATTTGGCGCAGTCGTGAGAATAGCGTCTTCTTTGGGGAGCTTTGAGATCAGTAATGTTTCGTCGTCAACTGTCTCAAAGATCTTGTGCTTATGATCCCCTCCGATAGCAGGCACCATGGCTACGGATGCCTGGGATGGTCAGCTATACCCGAGCCTGAGTCAGTGATGCAACCTACCTCATCATCGACGCAGCATGAAAGAGGCTTCTCCTGATAGGCAGTGGTTTGTTCGTCTTCACAACATCCAACAGGTTTCTCTTGGATCACCTCTGGCTTCTCGTCCACGCAGTGTGCACAATTTGGTTTCTCTGGCACTAGGCCCAGCTTCACTGGCTGGGGGCCTCGTTGGTAAATATAATAACTGAAAGCAAGCCCCGTGGATACAGCCAGTACTGGAACGAGAAGAGTATGGCTGACTCGACTGTTGGTCCTAATGTTCGACGAAAAGGATCTGGCTCCGATCACCGGACCGCGCTTGGTTGGAAGTGAGAGGTTTCTGACAAAAGCAGTAGAAGCAGCAGCTCTACTGGCAGTTGGAAGGATTTGACTGGTTACTGGAGCAAGGGTCCAGCATGTTGTCACCATGCGAGACATGGTGAAATAGGATAAAGTGGAAGTAGTTGCAAATATTGGATAATTGTTAGGTCAGATTTCCTAGACCCAAGCAGTAGGCAGAGCCCGTCGATCTTTATACTACCATTAGCAGGCCATGTTATGGCTCAACAAATAGTACTAGAGCGCGGAGATCTATATTTGAGTGCTTGGTAATATGACAGCTGTTACTGACGCATGATGGGACGGACATGGTTTAGTGGTTGACCTCGAGTCCATAGCCCTGATCACCGGTGAGTCCGAAATGGTCACCTGAAAACGTCAACTTGCATATCTCAATACTGAGCCAAGTACTTAACTCCCTATGAAATCAGCTCTTGATAAATAGGTTGAGACTTGTTCTTCGCTAAATAGATGCCCTTTATCTGACCGGACTGCTAAACCAAGGACGGTGATGCGCAAGAAAAAACATGGAAATTTCAGGGCAGTGAGGGCTAAGCTAGTACATGTTCAACTAGAGAGGAGAAAACTAGGAGATTTCTCGGCTTCACAAGAAGCAAGACGGCATGTTTTGTGAAGTGGAATGCCTTTCGGTCAGATCATACGTGTCATATCATCATGAGAATAGCGTATCTCCGCGGTTCGACGCTTCACCCTCCAGGTCGAGCTACGACTAAAACGGCACCCAATCAACAGCCCTCGTATCACCTCCAAGAAAAGAATACGAAAATTTACAACCCCTCGCAAACTTGGTTTGTTCATTGCGGTCCAAATTTATCTATTGTTATCATCTATGTGTCGGGCTTGCTTTTATTCCAGAGTTGAAGTAACTGTGGCTAGAATCAGTTATTCTGACCAGAGGCTTACTGGCTGCTATGTGGGATGAATGCTATGCCCTATTTGAGCTCATAGCACAAACTCTGGGGACAAAAGAACCATAAGCTTGTCTAGCTGGAGTATCCGTGCATCAGACAGCAAGAAAATACTAGACCTTGATATGAGGTATTGAAATAAACTCTACAAAAGGTATCCTAAATTTATCCTAAACTTATATTAAGTTACCTAAGTATTTTGATCATTTAAGATAAAGGTTCTGGGTTTTCTTTCCTCCCCTAGCCATACTAAACAGATATATTGGAGGCTTATCATTTGGTTCCAAGGACTCATGAGTAAGTAAAGTAAAAATTCCTTGTTGATGGACGAGTGGGTTAAGGCACTCGAGCCAAAGGATGTATAAGTGGTTTCTCAATAGTCCCTGCACTTGTTTCTATTCGAACCCTAAGCCTGCCGCTGCCATGAAGGCCCCTGGGACGTTGCCCTAAGCCATCTCGCATAGGCTTGTAGCTGAACTGAAATCTGGATTGCTTCGAGAGACGCAAAATCCTTGATTGAATTCGCTAGGCACAAATAATTTCAAATCGCTCAAAGAAGTATGATAAATGTTTGGCGAGATTGTCATTCATATCCCCATTTGTATGTCTGTTCGGCCTCCAGAGCCAAGCGGTTGTATCAAGTCTATGTAGTTACGATGAATTTTATGGAAGATCGTAAGCAAGCCCATGGCCATATTCAGTGGGATCTTATTTGCTCAACATTTTGCTTGTCACCAAAACCAGGTGTGCCACCAAGTGAGCCAAAAATATCACCGATATAATTCTGAGCAGGGATTCCAGCCTCGAATCTGTTGGACCACTCCTCCAAGATCCCCTCAACTACCTTCAGAGCAGTAAGATAAAGGTTGCGAGTAGATGGCCCCAAACCACCTTTGTCCATAACGAAAGGAAGTTGATGGGGTTTATCCTCATGTCCTCTGTCGAAGTTGGAAGCAGATCGAATCAGGAGGATTCGGGAAAAGTCAACCTTCCCTTGGAGTGCTGCGTTCAAGAGACCAGCCAGAAGGGCATTATCTTCCTGGGCTGTCATTGCGTACTCTCCTTGTCCTGAAGTATAGACCTTTGCAACTTTCTCCATAGCCTCGGAGATTCTATGACCATGCCAGAAGGTATTGGAAGACAGAACATCTCCCTCAAGAACAGTTGGGTCCTGAGCCGCTGCGTCAAAAACACCACCAGTAGAGTTCTTCCATAAAGCCCGATGCTCAGCAGCCTTTGGTGAATCTGTAAGCGCAACAGTCCTGGCTACGGAAAGAGCATAGTCTCTCAAGTTTGCATTAAGCTCGAATACTTCAGAGCCATGCACGATACCGGGAAACTGGTCAGGCCTGTCTGCTCCCATAGGAACAAACCCTGACCCCCATTCCTCGGGGACTTCTCTCGCATCAAACTCAAGCTGCGTGTCAACCTGAATGGCGAATTTGGCAAAGGCAACCGATCCAATAGTAGCTCGCTTGGGATTAACGCCTGCAATACCAGTCAGGACAAAGTATGACTTTGTGAGGTCGAAGAGTGGCGATGTCAGGAGAGCACTGATCGATAAAGATGCGTTGATAACTACTTCGGGTCAGAGAAAGGCTTTTGAAGGGAGTTGGATTCTTACGGGCAGTTCCGACTACCAAAAGTGCGACTTCGCCATTCTCTGTGACATGGATATCTTCGTAGCCCCTAGCCAAGCCCGGAACACGCACTTTATGAGAGAACTGAAGAGCACTCTCAGGAGAAAGCCAATTGCTTGACTCTTCGTAGAACTTTTCGCCATTAGTTTGATGTTATCACAATAACTGAGTTGTACTCACCATAGCGATAAGCAGGACTTTGGGCGATATTTTAGCGCCTCCTGGCTGCTGGGCCTGGACCCCTTGCGCAGCTGAGTTCTGTGCACTCATGATGTTTCGTATTGATGGGTATAGTCACGGGTGGTCTTGAGTCTGCTCTTGAAGTTTGGAAAGATTTTCTTGAGGCAATAAGTTGATAAAAGACAAAATGACCTCATTTGAGCCTGGGCGGGGTCGAGATGGCGTGATCAGCGCAACTAACATTTGGGCTCCTTTCTGATCCATTTTCGCTACCAGCCGAGGCTCACGATCCTCTCGTGTCCACCGCCTCAATTCTTTCAAAGTAAGATTTGAGTAGATGACGGAATTGAAGGTTCCACAAAGCCTTCAATCCGACAGACATTTACCAGAGCCAGTACCATACCCCAACAATGAAAGCAACGGCCAGAGCCAGTTTCGCAATATAAATCATCTGCTCTCTTTGCTTCTGTGACCGAATGCGCATTTGTTCTTGATAA